TAGGCAAATCTCAAGGCAAAAGCACTTGTACACGTTGTATATGATATGGATAAAGTTGCTGATTTTTCAAAATTTGCTATACCGTTACATGATTTAAATTTAGCTGTTGCGCAATTTTTCGTTGTTCTAGGGTCCTCTTCGATTTTATTAAGCACAGCTTGTTCGATTTGGATGGTTCTTGCACTTGCGGGTCTTCCTGCAACATGTGTGGATCTCTTGAAACTGCATGTTTCACATAGTCAAGCGTGAATGTTGATGAAAGTTAGAAAACTTGGGCCAAAAAATCAAATATATCTCAATTAGCCTGGAAAAATATCGAACAGGAGACATCGCAGCAACCGGGTTGGAAGAAAGAAAGGGTGGTCGCTTTGATGAAAAATGAGTTCAAGTGTATATCAAGATCTGTCCCAGCTTTTCAAATTTATATAGCTCTAATATATATTCAGCGCATTTTGATACTTTAAATAATTGTATTATTTCTTAAGATGTACAATGTGATTGAATAAAATTATTTTAACCCATTGAATGAGGCTAGATTTCGAAAAAATGACGATTTCTACATCGGTCAAGTTTTTTTTACCGGCAGTGTATACATGGTTATACACTTTTTTCCCAATATCTATTAATCATATTCTTAGTTTCTGTTCTCTCTGCTTCAAATTCAAATTCCTTTATTAGTTCCGAACACTATATATAAGTATAGAGAGGAACACGTCATAAGTATCACATATAATACTTCTAAAAAGTAAAGGCGAAATAAAAAACAAACTAAAAGAACAGACAAACTGAAAACATAAAATTTAAAAAGCGCATGTGAATGCCAAGTTAATGTACCTCCTGACAATTGCATTATTTCAGGTCCTTCAAAAACGCAAGGAACTCATGTATGCTGTAGAAGCTGTTAGATAAGAGCATCCTCTTAAGGTGCTTTTTGAAGAGCATAACATTATATGTTTGTTTAAGAGATTCTGGTAAACTATTGTACTCGTATATTCGTGTACCAGCTATCTAGGCGACTTTTCGTGAGTAGTTAAGTTATGCTTACCTAAACAAAATTGGTTCTTATTCCTCGTGTTATAATCATGAAAATGTGACTTTTTTTGGAAAGAGCATTTGAAGGGGTTAGAGTAAAAAGGGTATAAGTGGCATTTTTTAATTTTTGTGTTTATGTATGTAAAGTGAAACTTAAGAGTGTATTTTATCAGTGCAAAACTGGTATAACTACCGTTTGCCACTACTAGGGTAATCAAATATACTCACTTAGTAATTCGACATTAGTCTAGAGGGCAGAATAGGTATAGGTGCACTTGTATCGTTTCTGCGCTGAGTTATTATGATTTCTTGTGACTGGTAAACATGTAGTAGTTTTTTGGTGTGCAACAGTTTTGAGTGTTTTGGCGTATTTCTTCAAAGGACAAAGTTTTTGAAGTAGTGTGCTTTGGTTTGTGGGTTGTTTATAGTCTTTTTTTGAGATGGCTGCGACCATGGGCAGAGGTAAGAGTGGAAAAACGGATAAATAAGTTTTTTTGCATTATTATTTTAATTTTTTAGATAACAACGACTCTGAACCAGATCCCTATGATACTGATGAAGGCGATGATTATGTTCCTGATGATCAATCTGATTCAAGTGAGAATGATGAGACTGAGCACGTTACACCAAGAAAAACAAAAAAGCGTAGAAAAAACAGGGCTTTGTGGAAAAGGAATGAAAAAAAGAGACTCAGAACAGCAGGAAAGATGTATGAAGGGCACAAAGGGAAAATTCGTCCAGAGAGGAACCTTAGACCTTTCGTCCATACATGCAGGTATAGCTGTAGCAAAATGTCCGAGGCAGAAAGGCAAACCTTTTTTGATAAATTTTATAACATACCTACATATGACCTGCAAACAGCATTTTTAGCTTCTTGCATACAAAAATGCGAAGTTGTTAGACGAAGCCAAAGAGCAGAATGTAACCGTAGGTTTTCTACCAAAATTATGGTCTCAAATATGCGAGTTTGGAAAGCATTTTTCCTCAAAACGCTTGATATAAGCAATAGACGATTCACTACAGTATGCGCGAAAGAAGACAGATTCGGTATATGTGGAACAGATCAGAGAGGAAAAACTTCAAGTGCAAACAAAATGAATGAAAACATTCGAAATGTGGTTATTCAACACATAAAAATGTTTCCTAAATATAAAAGTCATTATTCCCGGAAAGACAATGTTAACACTCGTTACCTGTCATCAGATCTTAATATAACAAAGATGTTTTTTTTTGTATAAAGAATACTGCAATGTCAATCAGAAGCCACTCGTCAAGTTATCTTACTACCGTCACATATTCAACACAGAATTTAACCTTCGATTTCATAAGCCCCATAGTGATACATGCTCAAAATGCGACAAGCTGAACAATATCATCAAAAACTCAAATAATGAAAACGAGGTGAGTATTTCCAAAGTGAGCTTAGAGTTGCATCAGAGGAAAGCTCAAAAAGCATGTGAAATGAAAAAGATGGACGCTGAAAATAGTAAAGCCTTAGACGATACCATCGCAATTTGCTTTGATCTTCAACAGACATTACCAACGCCTTTGCTCACTACTTCAAAAGTTTTCTACCTTCGACAGCTCTGGACTTACAACTTCTGCATACATAATCTGTGTACTGGAGAAGCTCGCATGTACACGTGGGATGAAACTGTTTCTGGTAGAGGTTCCCAAGAAAAAGGATCATGCTTGCTGCATTTTTTCAAGTCACTTCCCTCAAATATCACAAAAATAATAGCCTACAGTGACTCATGTGGCGGGCAAAATAAAAATAAGAATATTTGCAAACTGTTTATGTTTGCAATAAAGGCCACCCATATTAAAGAAATTCACCACAAATTCCTGGAGCCAGGTCACACTTATATGGAATGTGACCGAGATTTCGCACTTATAGAGAAGAATAAAAAAAAGATTCCTCAAGTTTTTATTCCAAGCCACTGGAGGGAAGTAATTGCAGCTTCAAACAAAAAATTTATGATTCACAACATGACCAGAGAAATGTTTTTCTCTTTTGAAAAACTGAATCAAATAGTGAAAGATCCTAAGAAAGATGTAGACGGAAAGCCGATAAAATTCAAAGAAATTGCGTATTTTAAATATGATAAAAGCAATGAGGCATTTTCGTTTGAATTCAAACCAGTCTTAGATGCTTCATATCCATTCATAAAATGTGTTTCTGGGTCGCGTGCCTCTGGGCGACCATCATACTCGCTACAAAACTCATTCACACCACTACACGGTACCTCAGTTCCGATAAAAACAGAAAAATGGAAAAATCTGCAGACCCTTTTGGATTATATACCTCCAGTTTATCATGCGTTCTATAAAAACATGAAACATGAAGATTTAAAAAAAAGGACTAACGAAAAAAAAAATGCCTGTACCAGCCATGGAATCTGGTCCTACTTCTCGCGCAGAGCCCGTATTCATCGTTGAAGAGGAAGATGAAGATGACGAGGAGCTGTTATCCGACTACGACGAATGATTAAAAACTATGATTGACAAGTATTGTTTAAATCAGTAAATAAAACTCGCATCACTTTTTTGTCTTATTGTGAGTCGATTAAGATTGAATTGGTATCTTGGTGCAAAACCGGTACAAGTGCTTCAAAATCACTTTTTTCTATGAACAAATTTTTTTTTATACTTTGCTGGTTCACCAAACATTTCAATGATATTTAGGATTCTATTCCATTTGTCTAGATACATTTATGTTATTTGCAGAATTTTAAAATAGCAAAAATCTTTAGAAGCATTTTTCTCAGAAGTAACGCAGATGCACTTACACCTTTTTTGCTCCAAGCCCTTCATTTGTTTTTATGAGTATAGGATAGTAGTTTTAGTAGATAAATTGAGGAAATGGTCAAAACTTGATATTTCTTAAAATAGTCCCTAAAGGACGCCCTGGACGATAAATTGAACATGTTTCTAATGACTTTTTTGTGTGATGAAGACTCTGTCGATAGTTGAGGCCTGTCTCCAGACAACAATATTATATGACAGGACCGAGTATATAAACGCATAGTAGACACTAATTAAGGTTTCATGACTTACACAATTTTTTAGACTATTTATGACGAAAGCACCTGTATTTAACTTTTTGTAAACCTTGTGGATATGGGTTTCCCAGTTTAGGTGGCAATCCACCACTAAGCCCAAGAAATTTGTAGATAGAGAGAGCTCGATCTTGTGGCCATTAAGGGACAAGTTAACATTACAGGATTGCTTCTTCACAGATCTTATATTCATAGCTACAGTTTTATCGTGATTAATCATTAGATTGTTTAGATTACACCAGTTAGCAAACTCTTGGAGCACTGTATTCACCTTCAGTTGCAATTATGTTTCAGATACAGCAGAGACTACTGCAGTAGTATCATCCGCATATAAAAATACTTTTACAATTTTAGCAGCAAACCTACGACCTGATAAGTAAGAAAAAATAAAAGAATTAATACTACCCATCAGTCCCATGTTCCAAAAGCTTAAAGCGCCTTTTTTTGTGTGTTTGTTTCACTTTATGGCATACATACTGTGTAAATTAACCCATTGTACTATGTATTGCTTTCTAAATGGTATCTGTACTGTTGCTTTATTATTATCAAGAGCAACGACATGAGCCTCATCATAAAACTGGATGAGTTTACTCCACAATTGCGTGATGTGTCGATCGATGGTGTCGGGAACCATACTGAAGCCTGAGATTTATGCACCTATCACCATACTTATAACAGAAAGAATAGCTACAGGCCTGAGGTTGTAAGGGACGGTTTTAGATACTTTTTTCGGGTGTGTTACATATGAGCAAATTTCCAGTTTTCTGGGAAAGAGTCGGATCCGCATATCTGGAAGAGATGCACAAGAACTGGAGCAAGCTCCGCTGCACATCTCTTCATTACAACGACAGGAATAAAGTCCGGACCAGAAGCTTTGTTGATACAGAGGAATGTAATAATTACAAGTAGTTTACATTTGATTATAATTTATTTGTGATTATTATACAAAATACATCGATACTAACCCTTAAATATTGCTAAAAAAAGCTACAAAAATATGCTAGGACTCCATATGAAATCGCGAAAAGCCTTATGCCTAAAGACGTGTAAAATGGTAGGTTGACAAACAATAAATGCATCTTCTGGTATGAGACTTGTTTACATACAAAGTTATTCTTATACGTATATATCTAAACACTCACATTAAATAAAAACAACATGAAAATTTCAGACATAGCAAAAATAGTTAAATAAAAAATATCACCTTGAAAAATTCCAGCTGCATCCAGGCCGAAAAGAAATAGCAGATATGGTATATTTTGTCAAACGAATCTGTAAGAGGTCAATGAGTACAATTGCAGATGTCCTCTATTTTTTCCGAAGTAGAGGTTTCTAATCAGACCCCTTATTTTTTGCTTATTGCACTGCATGATTCACGCTAATAATTTTAAATGACAGTTTCTTTATAACTCAAATGAAAGGAACTTCTTCTGATATCTGATTTACTAAAATATTGAACCTTATCACTGGAACTGCCACAGTATGCTAGGAAAGAAAATCATACTGAAGGTTTTCTTAAAACAACTATATCCATGTCTACCGTTTAGAAAGCCGAACAATGTGGTATGTTACAGTATTTTTCTTTTTCATCACAGCCAGCTTACCTTCAAGGTAAGTTGAAGTATTTAATATGTTTGGACTACTACTCCAATTCAGGGTTGCTTCGCACTCAGGCCTCGGACACTATGTTTTTGAATTGACCTCAGATGGTTGCTTCAAAATTTATTGTTTTCAAGAATATTGGTAGATGATATCTATCTTATCCACAGATTTTGACGAGGTCAGATCAGTGAGCTAAAACGGTTATTCTGTTTTGTTTTTAATTCTCTTGAATAGATAGAGATGCAATATAAAACAAAAAAAAAAAAAATGAAACCACTCACCAGTATTTTGGAAAGTAACCACTTCATGAATGACTAAAGCTCATAATATTATTCCGTACTTTATAATATATCCATCATGTATTAGTTACTAAGATTTAAGATTACATTAAGTATTCATATTTGGTAAGTACAGACATACAAAAATTAGAAAAAAGGCATGGAATTTGGCAGTTTAATAATGTTTTGGCTAGTGTGCTAGTGATATACCAAAATCTGGTAGGAATACGTTGAAAAGTAAATTTTCGAAATCACATTATGAACTTATTAATAATAAGTACTTATAAATAAGAATGAGTGTATCGTTAATCTAGACTAGAGATTGGCGGAAAGGTTTAGCCACATTTTTGGTCAATGATGGATTAATATTCAAGTACATGGACGGAATTACAGAATCAAGTATTCAAATCAAAATAATGGTATATCCAGAAACCTTTATACTGGAAAAATAACTGCAGTCATTTCAATTTTTATATGAATACAGTTTTACATATGTTAAATTCTCAAATCTGAAATGGGCGTTTATGTCATTTACTTGTATGAAGTAACAATTTTTCCAAAAAGAAGTACATTTTTAGAGCTAAAGCTATGAAAAATGACTAATCCCGATTCCAGTCCTTGTGTTGCTTTGTTAGAGAAATTATATATATTATACTACTTTTGTCCAAAATTTGTTAATTTTGAGATAAATATTTTATGGAAATATAATGATATGCAACAGCCTGTAGTCTATATATCAACGATACGTTTCACTAAAATATGTGTGTAAATAAATATAAATTATAATTTCAGGATATAACGTACAATATTAAAAAAAACATATTTAACAAATATTCCTTTTTCATGTGAATGGACATGGTGTCACACTAATATTCCCTTAGCGGGAAAATTAGACATATCAGTGGTATGTATAAGTTAGTATTCCCATTGAGTTGCACTTTCGATATTGCTATCACCGATCCTAAAGCAGCCATTTTTACTTGCTACAAGGTAGTTTCCGTTGATGGTTTTTATGCAGAGACGGGTTGGCTCCCTCAGTTCTAAGTAGAAGCCTTCTGGAGTATCCGAGTCCGCTGTGATACACTCGCTGTCGGCGTGCCAGTATTTGTTGTTTTGACCTACAGATGGTAATATGAATTAGTGCACTGTAGCATATGACTTCTAAAAAGTTTTACCACTAGCCAAACCGGGTTTTAATACCTGATAGTGTTCAGCTGTTTTCGCAAATAAATGATAATGTTCTGTTCAAATGAAAGTATAATAGATCATTATTCTACAGAGTGTTTGGTGCATCGTTTGCCCTATTGAAATGGCGTTAGAATCGGGATAAACTAGAGTAGTTTTTAAAAGAATTCTAAGAACGTGAACGCTTTTAGTTTTTTTACAGAAATTCAAAATTGAGACTTTTTTTGTTATTCTTTGTAACCCTTTGTGAATTTATAAATAAAAAACTACATGCTGCTGGCAAGTAATGTTGATTTTGTAAGATTGCTAAAACATCACCCATTAAGATAAATCAATCATTAGGTGGACATACTCTTTATTTTTTTATTTCACTTTGTGTATTACATTTTGGAGTTTTTACTAAAAAAAAAAAATTACATAGTTAATTCCGTTGGGATAAAAACTGTTTGAGGGACCTGGAGTGCTAGGTAAAAAGACCTCCTCTGTCCGCCATTTCAATTTAGCAAACGATGCACCAAACACCCTGTATAGCATAAAATACTCCTGCCGTAGCCTATTAATACGATATCCCGCAAACTAGTCGACTTAAACAAGCGCCTATCATATTCAGTGCGACATGTATGTATTTTCATAAATTTACCTATCTTCCTAATTAATACGCATCTCATTTTAAGACTTCTAGTGTATCTGAGACATACTGTAGGATATATTTTGGATTAAAAATAAAATAAATGGTTGACGTCACCCAAATTTTGCTTTGAATTGTTTTCCGATTTTGCACCTTATTTTTTCAATTTTAAACAAATTTTCTAAACAATCTCAATGTCATACTTTACAATTCGAAAATCTTTTTAGAAAAAATCCCAACTTTGATTACGACTATTTTTCAAAAGCTCATTTCTCATCTAACAAACATCACACGAAAAAATCGAACTTCTCTTTCACAACTAATAGATTTACATATAGGCTCAATATGAACGAATTTTGAAACCTCACTTTTCATTGGTTCACCAAAAATAACACTGTCACCAAAATCAGAAGTGGTGTGGAATTTGATAACTCGAACACAGATCTGCTTACCTTTAAAGTAAACTACTCCTTTATCTCCTCTCTCGACCTGAATGGTCTCATACGTCGCCTTGTTGCACTCCAGCTTGGGACTAGACGCAGACTTGTATCCGACGAAACCTTGTTCGCACTTAAGTACCAAGATAGGCCTGTTGACCAGATAGAAGTAGTACTTGCAAGTCTCATCGATCGTGTCAGATGTAGCGTACAGATGTCCTGAGCGTTTTGTGATCACATATCGACCATTGTTTGCTCGGAATGCGACAGAACCATCTGATTGCCAGGTCAGGCCAAACAGGGCATTTGAGGACCTGGAAAAATAGCGCGAATTTGCTTCATCAATCTTAAACCGATCGATTTGTTATATGAAATAAAAACATCTTCAGAAATTGTTCTCGTCGCTTTAATGCAGAGTAATTTGTGTTTGAAAATGCAATCTTGCAGAAGATACATTTTTATTTTACATGATTAAAACTGACGTCAAGTAGGTTGACTTTGCACTGCTGTCATTAGGTCATAAAATATGTTCGATACAAATTTGCTGCATTTATAAAAACGTTCATTACGAACATGTATATATCAAAAGAATTACAGAGAAACCCAGATATCACTGGCAACGAGGCAAGCCGCAGATGCGTCCTTGGGCTCGTCACTCGGGTTGCTAGGCAACCTGGTGATTCTATTTCTTTCTAACATACGTATTGCACGCGCTTCTCTCCCCTACATATTACGACGTCAGTGATACATGGATTTCACTGTATATACTCCTAGATCTACTTAGGCAGTCGCAGAATTAATTTCATATCTGATATTGGTCCATTTTTATTTTCTGCCATTTTATTTCGAATCCATTCAATGAGATATTGAAATCGTACCTTTTGTCTCCTGAAGCCTGTATTCCACCTCCAGTTTCTAGTGTCCAATACCTATCCTGCATTGTTCTGATATACCATCTCTTAGTGGTCCAGTCAAACTCCAGTTGGAAGGTTTCATGGTCTGAGATTTCTTCTTGGTTTGCGGTAACATCCACACCTTTAAAAAAGTATATATTTCAAATAAAATAAGATTCAGGTAGTATATGAGTGGGGGGGGGGACGCCACACGGACTCTGGCGAGGGAACACGTGTACATGCAACATGCACACATTCTGGCTCCGCCTACGAGATCCGCCGGGTGGTACCTCCGCGTTCGACAGTCAGAGACCATCTACCACCTACGGACAATCACAACAGCCATAGCCAAGAGAAAAATTTCTCCTGGGACGGGACTCGAACCCGCACAGCACACGGCGACTGATCAGGAGACCGAAGAGTCTACTACTGCGGCCACCGCTGCTGCCTGGATATGTTAACAGAAGTGAAATAGTTTCGAGTTACTGTGTATGTTGGTCTAACGCTTCAATAACAATATTTTGACTAAGAAGTAAAACTGGTCTTCCAAACATTAATTATAGTATTGAGCCCTCAAAAATTATTACCATTTCTATATTTTTTATTACGACTTTGACTTTTGTACAGTTTTGTGTGTTGTGCTGTTATGATCAGCTTCGGCGGTGATATACAGGGTGTTCCTTAATGATATGCGAATATTTAAGGGTGTGAATCTACATGAAAAATTGTGAGTTTGCTTTATAAACTATGGTCCAAAAATGTTTCCTTACAAAAACTCGGGGTGTTGAAGTTTTAGGAAAAAAATGGAAATTAATTAATATTTTAAGAACCGCTTCAGATATTTCACTGATATTTAGTACATAGTAAAAGTTAATAAAGTTGCATATTTTTCAATGCAAAAATAATTTTTAGCTTTAACAGTGGCGTGCGTACGGGTATTGACTAGTTGCTCTGGAATATGTCACTGGCTTTTGATATCTGACAAGTCTCTGTTATTCAAATCTGTTCGCTGTGACATCTTTTTCATTATTTAGTTTATACACTCTTGTAAATAATGGTGAATTATTCAAATGCAGAAATGGCGGAAATGCATTACGTATATGGCCTTGCCGACGGTAATGGTGAGCTAGCCAGACGGATTTATCACCAGAGATATCCCGATCGTGCTTTGCCAGATAGTCGAACCTTTTCTAATATTCATCGTCGTCTTGTTGAAACTGGTTCTGTCCGAAAAGGAACATATGAAGGTAGACCTCTAGGTATGAGAACACCTGAAATTGAGCAAACAGTGCTGCACGAAGTCGAAGAACATCCTGAAACGAGTACGAGGAAGATCGCTAGACACTTAAATATTTGGCATCAAATTGTTTGGAGAATTTTAGTGGATTTTTTGTTATATCCTTACCATATTTTAAGAGTACAGGCGTTACTTCCCATTGATTTTCCAAGGCGTGTGACCTTTTGTCAGTGGTACCTTCAAAAAATTACACAAAATCCGCAATTTGAATAAATGATTTTGTTCAGCGACGAAGCTAATTTTTCCGTATGCCGTAAACGAACCCCATTTCCAACACCAATTTTCGGTTAACGTATGGGCAGCAATTTTCTTCAACAACACTTGCCATTGCTGCTTGATGATGTTCCGTTAGTAATAAGAAATAGTTTGTTGTTAGTATAGTTTGCTGACCTTTGTACAATGATTTCATGTCGTACTTTTTAACACTAACTTGATGAGTTTGCTACCTAAGATTAAGGAGACTAAACTACACAAGGACAACAACAAACGTGACATTTCATTGTTATCTAATTTTCTTGCAGACAATTTTTTATATGAGGAGTCTGGAGCGCTATCGACTATTACATGTTGGCGTAGGTCCACCACTGCATTAGGTTCAAATAGTCCAATTAAGAGAGTATGTTCAATTTCAACTCAACATATTGCCTGACTATTTACTCTTATCGATATATGTTCATATTTATTGTATCGAAAAACTTGTCTATCCAGTATTATCCCATTTTCAGTAGATGATGAAATCTCCGGCATTCAAACAAGAAAAATTAACCGTTTAATAGCAAGAACAGCTATCAGTTCTACATAGATCAATATTTTACGAGGAACATATGGCAAGTGCGTGTCTGGCAATAAGCGCATTCTCTACAAATACTTCAAAATGTCCAATAGCACGTGGATGATTTGCCGTAATACCTAATTAGTGACATACTTTCATTGCACTAAACGTTTTTACTTATCCATTGTGAACCAGTGCACATTGATTTGGGTTGAAGTTCGCACACGACTGTATACAAGAAAAATATTGCAATATACTTTTGAAAGCAGTTTAATTCTTTAGGCAACTTCATGAAGAAAACTTTTGCACTTGAAGCTTTTGCGACAGCTTGTCCTTAGAATAATAATCCATCTCTGACACAGTTGTTAGGCGGCAGACTTTAGTCTCCGAGATTGACTGATTAACATGAAATCGAAACATGGCTTTTATTTGTCCGACCACAAAGTTCCAACCATGGATAGGCTGTTTCGTGTGTATATACAAAACTTGCAGGAAATTCAATGGGTTTTTTGAGTTTTTAGCAATCAAATTTCAAGTTACATTTTCTCATATTTGCCCTCACACGTAGAATGAACTATATTTTTATAAAAGGTTAAGGTAATTATCGAGCAGTATATACAAAAACCTTCAATGTCGCGAGTAAATCTAGTTATTATAACTTATTATTAGATAAACAAGTATAAGTCGGTGTTCAAATTTGTTTATGTCCTTAAGAGTTACACTGGTTGATAATTTCAGACTAATTCATGCCAGTTTTCGCAAATTTGTAATTGTTCGTCCGAGATATCTTTTTTTGCAACAGCATCGCCCTGCATTATAATGAAGCTACAGTGTTTATTTGAGTACTGCGCAAAAGAAGACGGGTTGTACCATGAAGCTATTATATTGCGTGACAAAGAAATTACCCAGTCTTAAATTTCGTCCTAAAAGACCACTCATTGACTCATTAAACAAATACAATTATTTTGTTATACTTCTTATAGAGGAATTCTACCCTTTTATTCAAACAACCAGTATTTTTTGGCGAATAAAAAAAACAAATGGTCTAACTTAATCGAGGCAACAGTATTTCTTTTGTTTATATGTCATCCTATGTAATAAGTGCTAATAAAAATAATAACTTTTATTGGAATGTAAATACATAACAAGTATAACATGGACAGCATTCCATTCCACGGCCATTTTTCACCTCCCCCTAAAAGTTTGATGAATATGAATTTAAAATCAAATGAATAGAGTAATTAGCACTTACAACAAATATTATGCACAACAGTATACAGGGTGTTCCTTAGCGAGCATTTAAGGGTGTGAATTTACATGAAAAATTAATGTTAGTTTGCTTGATATTTAGTACGTAGTGAAAGTTAATAAAGTTGCATATTTTTCAATGCAAAAATAATTTTTAGCTTTAACAGTAGCGTGCGTACGGGTATTGAGTTTTCAAGAAAAAAATGGTACGCCAATGGTTTTTTGCCAAATAAAAACTATTTTTGAATTCCCAGTCCAGTTTAAAACAAATGATCTCTCTTGAATTGTTTTCCTTCGATGCGTCATTTTTGAGTAAAAAAATAAAAACCGTTCTATTTTCCGAGAAAATTAATGTAATAATTGAAGAATGCAATTTAGCAATAAATATCTAGTTGCTCTGGAATATGTTACTGGCTTTTGCCGACGGTAATGGTGAGCAAGCCAGAAGGATTTATCACCAGAGATATCCCGATCGTGCTTTGCCAGATACTCGAACCTGTTCTAATATCCTTCGTCGTCTTATTGAAACTGGTTCTGTCCGAAAAGGAACATCTGAAGGTAGACCTCTAAGTGTAAGAACACCTGAAATTGAGGAAGCAGTGCTGCACGAAGTCGAAGAACATCCTGAAACGAGTACGAAGAAGATCGCTAGATACTTAAATATTTGCCATCAAATTGTTTGGAGAATTTTAGTGGATTTTTTGTTATGCCCTTACCATATTTTAAGAGTACAGGCATTACTTCCCATTGATTTATTCCAAGGCGTGTGACGTTTTATCAGTGGTGTCTTCAAAAAATTACACAAAATTCGCAATTTGAATCAAGGATCCTGTTCACGGACGAAGACAATTTTTCTCGAAATGCCATTCAGAATTTCCACAATAATCATTTGTGGGCAGAAGAAAATCCTTATGCCGTAACCGAAACCCATTTCCAACACCAATTTTCGGTAAACGTATGGGCAGGAATTAGGAGGGATGTCTTTTAAGTTTTGCATATGGAAATAAAACAACACGGTGGGTTGTTTTAAATGACTTTATTGTTTTTCGAAGTATTCTCCACGAAGATTAATACACATCTGCATGCGCTCGAACCAATTTTCGAAGCACTTATTCCACTCGTTTGCTGGCAGATCTAAAACGGCATTTTTGAATGCGTCAACTGCTTCTTCTGGTGACTGGAACCTTTGGCCACGCAGTCTGTTTTTAATTTTCGGGAAAGTAAAGAAATCGTTAGGACTTAGATCGGGGCTATATGGAGGATGGTTCAATAATTCCATGTTTTTTCCGTTAAATACTGCCTTGTTTTTTGGGCTGTGTGTGAGCTTGCATTGTCTCGGTGGAGGATGATTCTTCTTTCGGGGTATACCAATCCACAGTAACACTTCTTTGCTCGTTAAGAGGAATTGTTGCAATATGACCCGCTTTTGACACAAATGTCGCGACCATCTTTTTCGAAACACTTCGAGAACGGATGACTTTTCTTGGCGTTTCTTCATCTTGGAACAGCCAAACAGCCGACAGTCGTTTATTTTCTGGTTCATAACAGTAAAACCACGATTCATCACTATCAACAATGCTGTACACATTTTTTGAGTTTCCGGAATTGAAACGGTCAAGCGTTTTTTGACACCAATTAACCCTGGCTGCTTTCTGATTTTCAGTCAACAGGTGGGGTATCCAACGAGAAATTAATTTTCTTACTCCTAATTCTTCATGTAAAATTTTTTGAATTGAGGTCTTTGGGATCTTCAAGGACGCCTCATGTCTATCTTCAATGATGAGTTTGAGCACACCATCGACGTTTTCCTGGGTGACTGCCGTTT